TAACTTTAACACCAAATTATTAATGAGGTACTCATTGTAATTTTTTGTGTTCAAAACATGTTGGACCACCAAGAACTTTAAATACTCGTCTATGGCAGGAATCATCTCCGATTAAGCCAAATATTCACTATTTTTTGACTTTGGGTATGATGGAATAAAGCAAATTGACTTTTTAACTGTGTGCGGCTCTGCGCTTTTTTTAATAGTGAAGTAGCAGTTAGTCAATGCAACTTTCAACGCTCCCAAACAGCCGCTCTATGTTTTAAAGATAAGAGTCAAGCTACATACGTGATTACTTGTGGTTCTTGAGCCGGGTGTCTTTGGAAACAGTCTCTCTACTTTCGAGATTGTGGGACTCAATTGGGTTGTTGTAGTTGTTTGTTGGCAGGAATCAGTGATTTTTTTTATTGTTGTGTCGTACTAAATTTAAAGAGTTGCACCTTGATGAAACATATATTAGCCTACAATTACCAATTGCTTGTGCACAATAAGGCAATACATGATTGAAAGATGCAAACGAAATAAAGTGTTTGTTAACATTGGTATACAGAGGGGAGGGAGCGAGGTGATAAAGCAGAAGTGCAAAACTACTGAATACTAGAATAGCATGATGTGATTAACAAATTGATAAAGTGAGAGGTATTATGTACTACCTTTTTATTTGAAAGAGGCACTACATCACCCATTACAGCAACCCGTGGTGGAAGCTGCATATGTGACAAACAAAAGTCTTTCTTAGTTCATGAGTCATGACAATATTTCACCTAAAATTGTAGGCCTGTGCATTATAGATAGAAAATAAGCTAAAAATTCTTATCAGAATCAGCTATTAAAAGAAAGAGACCCTTTTTATCGACATAAGCAGGCTTGCAAGTTGGCCAGGGAAAGGAGCTGTTACAGCAAAAGAGCCACGTTCATCAATAATAGCATTCTGCACCCCAAAAAACTCAATTTACTAAGGTATCGATGGAAGTGTCAAACAGTTAATTGGATGGCTATGATGCATATCATAAAATTTTATTTTGGTTTTTCAATATTACTTTTCTCAATAGTGTTATCCCTACTTAATATTGATCATTGGGTCACTGGGTCTCATCAAAGCCTAGAGATTGTACCGTGAAGCAAACTTTCAAATTGAAAAATGCCAATCATCAAGGCTGTTAGACATTGATATTTGTTTAAGCCAGCGCTATTCACTAAGCAGAAGCATATGTATTAATTCTCATGTTCTCCTCAGTACTAAAATTATACACATATGCAACTTTCAAAGATATGTCATTTTGGAAGTCCAATACAACTCGATGGCAAGTCCTAAATGTTATGGACTCAACAACTATGAATTCCCAAACTGTGTATGTCTCTTTATGGCATTTGGCATGTAATGCACAGCTACCATAAACATAGCAATGGAATTCATGTGAAATGTTCCATTGTATATCTAACAGTGCCAGTAAGAAAAAGAAATAGTAAAAACAAGTACTGCCTCCATGGCTCCATTCCAAAAACTATGGCACTTTTGCATGCTTTTTAGACTTCCATGACCGCATTTTTAACCATTTTAAGACCACATTTGTTAGTTTTTTTTTCAATTTCATTTTATTCTTATATACTCAATAACTAGTATGGTGTGATATCACCCTTCTACACTAAAAAACAATTTGATAAAGATTTAATAACTACATTAAATAATGATCTATTAGTTTTTTATCCTCTTTTACTCATATACTTTAGCATTGTATGCACATCCAACTATCCACAGAAGATCATTGTCAGCGAATGCAGTCATATCCACAAGAAGACATTAAAAAATAACACACACCACATTATGCAAGTCCTTCTCGGGTATCCATATATACGGCTTCCCTTTCTTGATGAAGTACTTAACTTTTGAACTGTGTACATCCTGTTTGCTGAGGGGAAAAAAGATGGAAAACATAGAAAGAGGACAACAACAACAAGAAAAAAACACAACTTTTATACAAAAGTATAACCTCAAAGCTCAAATTTATCCAATAGTATAAAATACACCAAAAATATCAGTTCCACATCATATAAAGTCTAAATTACCTTCCTTGAGCGTCGGCTTTAATGGTATTAAGGGTGCCTTGCCAATTTGATGCCAAGATTTTCTGCAAAATATGCAAATCAATGTTAGAAATCTCACTGCACACGAGATAACAGAGGAGAAATGGACGGTGGAGATGAGTACTCGCCTTGCACTTTTCAGCTATGGTGAGCAGAGAGGATTTCGGCGCTTTCCCCATGCGTGGCGCACCAGGCGTTTGTTGAAATGACGCGTTTGGAAGAGGAGAGCAAGAACGCCGCCGCCGGAAGAGTAAATCCGGTCAGTGAAACTCCGGAAGGGAGCAAATGAATCAGGCCTTGCTAGAGAAAGAGCAGAGTCTCATATTTATCGAATTCAGGTTTTAGAGTCGCATGAGGGTTTTCGACTCCTAATTTTCATTCGACCCGATTTCAACCCGGTAACTTTGTAGCCCCGAACCCGAATCTGGTGATTTGATCTTTACCTCACATAGGTTAAGATATAAAATTATGTGATTGAAAATAATATAAATGAGAAAATAATAAATTAAGTGATATATATTGTGATTAACATATTTAATTAATTATTAATTAATTAGTATTTATTATTAAACATTATATAGTTAATAGAGTTTATAGTTTTTGTATGGGCCCGAGCCAATAAAGTCAAACAACATTACATTTACTCTATAATGTATATTGTAATCTTTCCTCATTATTATTTAATCAATCAAAAATATCAAAAATTCAAAATCCTAAATCTCATGTCTTTTCGTGGAACTCAAAGTTTTTCTCTTTCTTACCTTCCTTTTCTATAGCTTGAAAAACGCTCAAAGTTCTTCATTTCTTCTTTATCTCATATTCGTATCAATTAGTGTTTTCATTCTTGAACTAAAAAACAAAAAAAATGTTCCCTCTCTTTAATTGGGGCTAATCATTACAGATTTTTTCTGAAGAATTGCTAAATCAATTGCACCATCTAAGAGCACTAGAAATGATCATGAAGTTCCAGCACTTCAAGTCGAAACTTCAAACTTTTTCTCCCTATCACATCACCTTTAACTTACATCAAAATTTCTATAGAGATGGGTTTGAAGCCCCGGGTCTTCAAACTGAGGCTTCAAACTTGATTTCTTACATTTTTTAATACACATCTTCTAAAATAAATTAATAACATTTCATTATTTAATTGAATTTAAACGACAATAATTCATTTAATAAAAAAATACTCGAAGCTTTCCTCTCCTTTTTTACCTTCTAGTTCAGTCAAAAATATCAAAACCTTAAATCTCTTGTATCTCTTTTCTTGAAGCCCGAAAATGCTCGAAGTTTTCCTCTCCTTTTTTACCTTCTTTTTCTGGAGCTTGAAGAACACTCTCTTCCATGTCCGGTATGATATTCGTATCATTAAGTTATAAATATATTTTCAAAAATAAAATGAATAATTTTTGGGAGATGCTCTAAAAAAGAAATGAACATTATTACTTCAAAAAAAAGGACTAATGAGTTTTGGATGAAGATTTTGTTGATCGAACTCAAAATAACATGTTAATAGTGGGTCAAATTCAATCGAATTCAAATTTGACAATAATTTGACACAATCAACTTGTTATCAGATATTCCCTTCATCTCATTTTAATGCCTCTATTGCTGTTTATTATATTTGACTGATTTTATTTTTATATAAATTTATATGAAAATAGAGGTAGAATAAAAAATAAAATTTATATATTTAAAAATTACATAAAAAAATTAAAAAACAAAGAGGTGATATTCCTATGTTATTTTATAAAATGAGTGACAAAAATGAAAAAAGTTTAAAGTATGAATAAAATATTGAAAATCTACCAAAATAGGATATCCATATTTTTGTTCTCGAAATATGAGTTAAAATGCATTTACAATGTCAATCATGACCATATACATTACCAAAAACTACTGTGAAATATCTATATATTGTGTCACATTACAACTGATGGTGTAAATTACTTGACCGGTCAAACTACACTAGACCGGGTCTAGAATAGTTTGCTTGATTTGGCAAAGTAAGAAAGTTAAAAACACGCAGATTGACCGGTAGGACTTTAGGTGGAACACCTGTAGCCCAGTTTATATTATAACGGAGAATGCACGGGTGCTTTTACAAGGGAGTTTAGAGAGAATGAATTCGGATCCCCTTATTCGAGGGTTACAAGAGGTATATATACTAGGCTGGGGGGCAGGACCACGTGCGCCCACGTGGGGGCATGCTGCTGGCGTGGTGTGAAATGACTGGCTCTGAGCTGCCTTGTCATCTTGCGCGGGGGGTGGCATCCTTGTCGCGTTCTGGTTTGAAAACATTCCCTCAGCATCCCTGCAATTCCAAACACTACAGTCCAAGTCCTTTTGGATTCCTCCTGCCGACACTTCCCCAATCTCTAGGAACTGCACCGGTTGGTTCTTGTAGGTTGGCGTGGCCAACTTTGTAGGGTGAATTAGACGCCGGTATAGTTTGACCGGTATACTATCCGAAGTATACCGGTCAACCTTTTGGTCAACCAGTCATCCCTTCGCCGACGATCCAGACCTCTCTTGCAAGTTTGACTTCTTTGACCGGTCAACTATCCGGTCTTGACCTTTGACCGGTCATGGGTGAAATACACCCACCATTAAGCCCTCCACTTCTCGGTTATGCAATTTTGTCATAAGCGGGAAGTAAAAAGTCTGAAACTGGACTCTAAATTCGAATTTTTGGCTCTTCCCGCTTGAAAAATTCAACAAATTTGAATTTCAAATTTGAAAGAACTCGCCACGTGTCGGACGCCAGCCGTTGCAACGGTTGGCTACCCACACGTCGTTTCGTCTGCCAAGTACCATCATTGCGCCGCCCGTTGTGGCGCAATCTCAAGGCGCCACGTCGCCTACTTTTGGCCTCCCCTCTCCTATATAAAGGCCCTCAACCCTCTCACTTGTTCACATTTCGCAATTCAGTTCCTCAGAGCTTTCACCGGTCAAGCTTCCTTCTCACTATCCAGCCCTCCGAGTCAAGTGAGTTTCCCCTTCCATCTCTACTCTCTTTCCCGGTCATGTCGTCTCTTAGCGGTAGGGTTTCTTCCTCAGAGGGCTGCTCCTCTGAGGACTCCAACTCATCTTCCTCGACCGGGTCTTCTTCCCCTGACTCCACGCCCGGTCAGGTTCCCAACTCCATTCCCGACCCGCAACCTGTTAATCAGGTGCCCGGTGATGTTTTCATGGGGAGGGATGACCCGGTTGATGACGAACCGGGTCCCTATGACCCTGAAAACGAAACCCGGGATGCGTGGGAGGAGCGGCTTCACGCTGCCGGTTACTTTCCGCTCCCCACCTTCTACGTCCTTGACATCCCCTCCCACGTATCCAAAATCGCCTTGAATAAAATTCGTAGGAGGCTCCCGGATGGGTATACCCTCTTGTATGAACCTAACTGGCCCAACATTGTTGAACCCCACCGGGAGGATAGGATAGGGTTCCACACCATATCACTGGACGCGGGCATCGTCTTTCCCCTTCGCCCCCTCCTAACTGAAGTCTGCCATGCGTTTAGGATTTTGCCCGGTCAGATAACTCCTAACGCTCACCGGTATCTCCATTCCTTTATAAATATTTGCTCCCATCACAAAATTGAGCCCTCCTTGCGTCTTTTTCTTTTCTGTTTTGAGGTCCTACCGGGCGGAACCGGCTGCGAAGGCTTCGTGTACTTCAAAGGTCGAACCGGTAGGAAATTTATCTCTGACGTCCCCCAAAGTAACCGGGGATGGAAAGAAAAGTTTGTCTTCATTGAGTTTCCTCCTTTTGTCACTCCTTTTGCCGGTTTAAAATGGAACGACCACCTTCTTAACCATGAGTACGCCACACCGGCCACCTCCCCTGACTTGGAAGCGAGTGTGGAAATCCTTATTCGTGGTGATCCATTCACCGGGAGGAAGTATAATTATGGAAGCTGGGTCTGGAGGGTTGAATCGGGTGGTGAGGGTACCGCCCAGGCTCATGACGCAGCGGGGCGCGGGGTACCCTCCCCGGGCAACACTGCTGAGGCTGAGGGCGACTCCCACCCAGGTATTTCTCGTTCATCTTGCGTCTTTTATTCAACCGGTATTGTCATTCATACTTAGCATTTTTTTTGTTGCCTTTTGCAGACATGGAGTTCGAGGAGTATGGCATGCCCGAAGATAAGCCAGAAGGAGAGACCGGTGGTTCTTAGACTGGTACTGCAAAAACTTTCACGGCCCAACCCGAGACCGTGGAAATCCATGATTTGGACGACGATGAGCCCCATACTGACCGGTCAAAGGGGAAGGACAAAGAAAAGACCGGGCGTCGTCAAAAGAAGGTGGCCACAACCCACCCCTTTTATGCCAAGAAAAGGGCGAGGTCGGATTCTGAGCCGGCCTCCCAGACCATTGAAGAGGCTTTTGTCAACCTGGGCCTGAGGCTGAAGGAGGTAAGGCTTCTTCTTATCCCGGTCGGATTAGACTTTCTTCCTTTGTAATGGTTTAACCGGGTCCTTTGTTTGTGCAGAAAGGGGAAATCGGGCCCCATGCAGTTGAACAGCTGGGGATGGGATCTCCTTCGGAGATTGCCCGGCTAAGGAAGGAAAAAGAGGAGATGAACCTGATTTTGAAGAATCAGGCAGATGAGCTGATCCGTCTGTCTGGTATGGCCGGGACAATGAAGGCGGAGATCTCCCAGCTGAAGGAGGAGAACGGCCGGCTTATGGAGGAAGTTTCTGAGGCCAAGAGGGAAATGGCAGAGAAGGAAGAAACCTTCCCCGGGCGCGCAGCCGCCTGGGTTGAAGAGAACAAAGCCGATGTTGCCCGGGTGATGACGGCGACGCCGGAGGCGACCAGGGAATCCTTCAAGTTCCTATACCGGGAACCTGAAGGGAAAAAAATGATCACCGCCATCGGATCCTTTGGGTTCAAGAGTGGTCAAAAAAAGGACCGGATTGCCTCTCATCGGGTACTACTCAAAAGAGACCCGGGCTTCAGTGCTGCATCCTACGGCTTGGCCCCCATTCCTGAGGAAGAGCCCACTCCCCCTTTCCCTCTTGAGTAAAACTCCCCGGCTCAGACCGGTTGTTTTGTAAACTTGAAACTTCCTTCATTTCCCCGGGAATGACCGGTGTAGCTGTAAAACACTTAACATTCCTATTTTCTCTGAATGCATGTTTGTTTTTTGTACCGGTTAATCTTTCATATCTGCTTGCTTCATGATTGTTAGATATTCTGACCGGTAGATATATCAGGCCACTCCTCAATTGTTTTTGACCGGTAGAACTTCCAAGTTCTTGATCACTTTATTTGAAAGTTCAGCTTGAGTGACTTTGACCGGTTAACTCCAACTTGATGGTCACTTTAAAAAATGTTTGACCGGCTGGACTTCAACCTGTTTTTGAACACCTTCGTTCTTGTTTTGAAAGTGAGGCGCAGTTTGACCGGTAGGTCCCTTCTCCACGGTCTGACTGGTGAACTGCTTCGCCTTGTGGAACTTTCGAAGTTCCGCTGTATCAATACCCAACCGGGGTATTTCTTTTTTCTTTTTTTTCTTTTTTTTTGACCGGTAGGTTGTAGATGGAGCACCTGTAACCTAGTAATTTCTTGAAGTATCCTTAACCGGTAAGAATACTGGAGATTTAACAATGTTCGAATGGTTTCGAACCCTCTCCAAGGTCCAAACGCACCCTTCTTCCAGGGCCCCCTCTTCCGGGTGATTAAGTCTTTTAATGGCCCTTTGATTTCTACCATTCCGAGAAGGCCTTAGCTCACCCTCTCGTTCAAGTCTTCCCTGAGAAGGGGGAAACAGGATGCGCCACGGTGGACGATCCCCTTCTATTTCTTTTAATGGGCATCTTTTAGTCCCCAATCAATTTGACGGCGCCGGCTGATTCCCCGACACCGGTCAAACCTCATGGGCCCGTGTAAGTACGGTTCGAACCCTCTTCCACGTCCAGCCCTCTTGCAGACATACCCTCTTCCGGGCCCCTCTTCCGGGTTTTAATATTTTTTCTATTATACTGAGCAAGACCGGTGTAGTAACCAGCGTGCCAGGTCCGGGCCTGTGTCTCAGTTGGCTTATCCAAGTGGATTCGATCCACCCAGGAAGCCCTCCTAGGATAGGTTCGACCTACCAACTCCGCCGCTACCAAGTAGAGCATTGAACATTACTTTGATTGATAATGTAGTTAGGCCTCGCCTAGTATTACAATCATTTGTAGAACTTGCGAAGATGGTGGGAATTCCAAGTTCTTTCTATCGGTACACCATCTAAAGTTTCCAACCGGTATGTTCCTGGCTGAATGATGGCTCTAACCCTGTATGGGCCTTCCCAGTTTTTCTAGCTTTCCTCCGTCGCCGGGTCTACTTGCTTCTCTTCTTCGTAGGACTTCATCCCCAACTTGGAAGTACCGCGGCCCAACCTTGTTGTCATGGTACTTCTTCACAACTTGTTGGTACGTACTCATTTTAACTTCCGCGGCCATTCTCCGCTCTTCGACCAAGTTGAGTTCGGCCAAGTGGTCTTCTTCATTTTGTTGGGGTTGATAATTTGATTCCCGGAACGTTGGGAATTCAGCTTCGATGGGCAGCCTTGCTTCACACCCATAGGTTAGGGAGAATGGAGTTTCCCCATGAGCCCTCCTGGGTGTTACTCGGAATGCCCATACGATGTGTGAGAGCTCCTCTAGCCATTTGTTTCCTGCCTCTCCCAGCCGTTTCTTTAAACCATCTACAATAGTTCTGTTGGCGTTTTCGACTTGGCCATTTCCTTGGGGGTACGCCACCGAAGAGCGATTGTGCTTGATCCCGAAGCCCTCCAAGTATTCGGTGAATCTTGGATTTCGGAATTGTGGGCGTTGTCGGTGATGAGGTTCATGGGCGCTCCAAACCTCGTGAAGATGTTCTTCCAAATGAATTTCTTACATTGTTGCGTGGTGATGTTTGCCAACGCTTCGGCCTCGATCCATTTGGTGAAGTAATCGATGGCTACGATTACGAACTTCTTCCCTCCTTGGGCGATTGGAAAGGCCCCAATGATATCAACCCCGAATCTGGCAAATGGGATGACATTCGATACGGGGTGGTAGTAGGTCGCCGGTCTACCGGCATACTTGTAGAATACTTGGCACGTTCTGCATTTCTGGACGTACCTTTCACAATCCTGTACAATTGTTGGCCAGTAATACCCCAACAAGATGATGCGTTGGGAAAGCGTACGGGACATTTGATGTGCCGCGCATACGCCTTCGTGGACCTCTGCTATGACTCGCTCAGCCTCCTGGTTGGTTAGACATCTCAGGAGTGGCCCCCCAAATGCCCTTTTATACAGCTTTCCATCAAGAATCTGGAATCGGGGTGCCCTGAGCTTCACTTTTCTTGCCCGGTCATCTTGTTCTGGCAAGCTCCCATTCATCAGATATTCCATCAGATCATACATCCAATGGTCGTCCGCCCCGACCAGGTTTGACCGGTCAAATTGGCTTCCGGCCGTTATAGCGGCGACTTCCAATTTTTCGATGCTTGCACGGTCAAGGATCTCTACCCGGGCAAGTTTTGAAACGTGCTCGGGAGCATACTGCGTCAATTTGGAGAGAAGGTCTGCATCTGTGTTCTCCGCCCGGGGAATTTGGGCGATCCTGAACTCTTCGAAGCCTTTCAACAGGGCAAGTACAAGGTCCTTGTATTGTGCCATGCGTCCTTCCCTTGCTTCCATGTTACCGGTCACTTACCCAACTATCAGGCTAGAGTCAGATTTGATACTGACCAAGCTGATTTTCAGGGCTTGGGCAAGTCTGAGCCCTCCAGCCAGAGCTTCATATTCTGCCTCATTGTTCGTCAGTTTGAAGTTGAAAACGATTGCATGGTAGATCTTGAACCCTTCTGGGGTGGTGAACACGATAACACCCCCGTATCCTCTAGGACCGGATGCCCCGTCAACTGCCATCTCCCACCATTGCTCAGTGGGCTTGTTGACCGGTAAGTCTGGAGTTATACCGGTCATTTCTACTAGGAAGTCAGCTAGGGCCTGTCCCTTGATTGCTGACCTTGGCCGGTACTCAATGTGGAATTGAGTTAACATCATCGCCCACTTCACCATCCTCCCGGAGGATGTTGAATTTCGCAACACTGCACCCAGCGGTTGGTCAGTCAAGACTTCTACCGGGTGAGCTTGGAAGTAGGATGTTAACTTCTTTGCGGAGATGAAAAGCGCATAGGCTGTCTTTTCCATCGCCGTATATCTACTCTCAGCCCCGTTTAGTGCTTTGCTCACATAATAAATGGGCTTTTGTGCCCCATCATCTCTTATTAAAACGGAGCTTACAGCGTTTGGGGAAATTCACAGGTACAGATACAGAGTTTCACCCGGTTCGGGTTTAGACAATACAATATCCGACGCTAGGTACTCTTTCAGCTCCTCGAATGCCCTTCGGCATTCTTCGTCCCATGCAAATGTGTTGGCCTTCTTCAGAACTTTGAAGAAGGGCAGGGATCTCTCAGCTGACCGGGAAAGGAACCGGCTGAGGGCCGCTAAACGACCGGTCAACTTTTGAACATCCCTAACGGAGGTAGGGGCTTGCATTTCAGTGATGGCCCGGATTTTCTCTGGGTTGGGCTCTATCCCTCTCTTGGTCACCATGAATCCCAAGAACTTCCCGGTACGAACCGCGAAGACGCATTTCTTAGGATTCAGCCGGAGGTTGTACCTTGCCATGATATCGAA